ACAGATATGGTAAAGCCAGTTCATTTTACTTGGTAGTTATTTCAAGCTCTGTGTTGGAACAAAAGGCTACTCCCATATCTCATGAACTGTAAAGGGGGTTCACCACACATCCAAGGAAACAGACAACATGACCAGTCAAACATTGAAACCCAAGATAATACAAGTATGTGAAGCAAAGTGCGTGCATTGTATAACGACAACCGTTCACACTGTATTGCAAGCAGCTTGTGTCCTGACATTGGGTTGACCTAAGTTGACAATCTATCTATGCGACCTGGTTTCACATTCTGTTTACTACAGTTATTCATTGTGTTCACTCCTCTGACAGATCAAGGGCTTTGTGGTGGTTACAGCGAGGGACTTTGCCAGCAAACCAGAACGCGCGGCTCCTATGTAGGCTCATTGGGTAAAATTACTTACTACTCATCACATGCCCACTGTCCTGTATTTTACTGTAAGCAGCTTGTATCCTGATATTGGACTGACATTAGTTGACGTACGTCACAGGAAGACCGAGAAGTGTACAAAGAACCTGCACAAACAAGATAAACCTACTGGATTGTTATAACAGAAGTAAAGCTTTCTGATCCTCCAATGGGTGTATGGAAGCTTGCCTGGAGTTTCACCCTGTTAATAATAATCTTACCACAGCGTTGTCATGGCAGCTGCATTAACAACTTAAACACCTGTGAGTGGTATCCCTGGGCGAGCTGGTCATCCTGCAGCAGGACCTGTGGAGGTGGAACCCAGACAAGGACACGGAGCTTGTGCTGTAAGGCCGACCTTGACTATGATGCATGTCTACGTGACTGCAGCCTACTAGACACTGGCAGAGAGACACAGTCCTGTAACACGGACTGTCAGCATGGAGGAACATACAGCAATGGCTACTGTCACTGTCCACCCTTACGATACGGCATTTGCTGTGAAAGAGGTAGGGAACAATCTAACTGACAAAGTAGATATTATTCATGGATAAAAAAAATACACAATTTTTAATACACAATAGTTGGCGTTTTTTAGATCAATGTTTTCCATAAAAAGTGTCTACTTTGTGATCCGTCAAATTCAAAGTAATGCATATCAAACAATTCACTATTTAATGTGTGAGATATATATTAGATCAATCGTTTGATGTGTGAATGTGCAGCATTCCTCACAATCACACCTTTTATCAACAATCCTTATTGTGGGCCATGGATGGCACGATCGTCTCTGTTTATAACTGGAAGCCTGTAACAGCTGCTATGTCAGGATTTAGTCCTGCACCATGGGGTGCACGGGTGGCCCAAGCGTCTAAGGCGCCGCGATTCGCTGTGCCACGTTGCGTCCCTTGGGCACGCCAGAAACCTATGATTGTTGGTTCGAATCCACGTTCGCCCCAATTATGTTTCTAGGTTTGTCAGCACCATACCCGTGCTCGTGGGTTTCACCGAAGTGGTAAACGTCTGAGACCTGCATCACTTCGGGCTTTCCTCCCACATCAAGCTGACACGCCGTGATATAACTGGAATACTGTTAAAAGCGGCGTTAAAACCCAACTCACTCACACTCACACTCCTGCACCATGACTGAAATATATATTTTTTAGGTATGTGTTTTACTAAAAGCTTTTGCAAGTCTAGATTCAAGTAACCGAGTCTAGTTTGCATAGGTTCTTTTGAGGAAAAAATATATATAAAAGATTTCAATGTTTTCATTGACTCAGTGTTAGTCTAGTCAGGATCCTAAGTGTGTTAGTTCACTTCCCAGCTGTCAGACACAGCAGTCACAGAATGGTGGTCGAAGTACATCATTGTGGTGAACAAAAGGGACAAAACCTTTTTCATAATCATAAGAAATCTATATCCCTAACAGATATTTGCAATACCAAAACATATGTGACAAATGACCATTGTACGTTACCGTCTGTCATAAGCACGGCAGGTGGGAGTTCATTACGCTCTGTCCATCTTTGTTTATCACTGGATCTGACTCTCCTCCATCAAAATAGTCCCCTAACATGGTGTCGACTACACCACCGTTGACCTTCGGCGTGATAACGTGTCGTCAAGATACGCCTCTGACAAATCAACGTGTAACAATGACAGTTTTCTTCTGACCGTTTTACACTGTCCGATGCGTGATGCGTCCTTTGCAGTTGGAGGTAGGTTGTTTGTTTGTTTGTTGTTAATGCCGCACGCAGCAATATTTCAGCTATATGACGGCGGTCTGTAAATAATCGAGTCTAGTGATTGACATCATGAGCATCGATCCGATAAATTGGGATACGATGACATGCATTAACCAAGTCAGTGAGTCTGACCACCCGATCCCGTTAGTCGCCTCTTAAGACAAGCATAGTCGCCTTTTACGGAAAACGTGGGTTCCTGAAGACCAGGATTTTCGCGGGTGATTGGAGTAGTTGTGAAGAGATTACAAATGTGCTGGGGTCCAATGTAGCGGTCATTTGCAGGGGAGGTTACTATTTGCCTTCATGCCCCAGCAGTGACACTTCCTGTGTTGGTGTATCGCATATAGACGCCTGATGATATTGTGACGTTGGTCTTGTGTCTGACTTGAGAAAGGACATGATCATACGTTTCCGTAGAATATCCAATATTGTTACAATTGTTGAGCTTGTGTTTATGATCTACAAAGTCACATCTACTTCACTGTAAAGTATTTGTAATGTGCTTGTTGATGTTTTGGTGACTAAACAAATGACTGCTAAGTGTTAATGAACCCGACAGCAGCGTTAGATGGTGTGCCAGTATAAAACAAGACCAGATTCAATTTGCCTAATGTGATAAATGTTTAGGCATGAAACAAATGATTTAATGGTGCATTGAAGCACAGTGAGTTTTTACCTAAGTGGAATTAGAACAACTATTTGATCAAACTTGTGATACTTTGACATGCTTGAGGTTATGCATTTGTGTAGACGAAACTGAGCAATGGTGCTGTGCATTTACTTAGATGAGGCCCACGCGGATGGTGACTGTGCCAAGAGGTGCACGTGGACCAACTGGCGTTCCTGGAGTAGCTGCAGCACCACCTGTGGAGGAGGAACTAGAACTAGAATACGCGGTTCATGTTGTCTCAAGGGTTTGACGTCTGATCAGTGTATGTCAAACTGCACCTTTTCGTCATCTGACCAGAGAGAGACATCAGCATGCAGTGGTTATTGTTCCAATGGAGGGACAGTTTCTACATCTTTTTGCAGCTGTCCTCCAGGTTATGGCGGTGATTGCTGTGACATAGGTAACTACTGAATTATTTACTCTCATAAACAATCTATAACTCGACTCAAGTCACATCTCTAATGCAATGAGCAATCAGAATGGCCCTGAGTCGAGAGAACAGTTGATGATGACTATGTGCAAATGTTAGAGTCATATGTTCTGCTTCGTCCTCTGTTAGTCCCTGATAAAATGTGACCTGCTACCTTGTGTTATCCCACAAGACAAACTAAAAGGAAAAACTTCATTCCTTGATCCATGGGGCTTTTGTTACAAAACGTGATGTGCAGAGATACAGTTGCGTATCTATGTCCTGAGGTTGAGAACAATTTGAGCAAAATGAAAGAACATGCCATCTGAGGTTTACGGAGAAAACACTGTGTGAAATGCTGGACTTCCTTATTGATAACATCTACGTAAAATTTGGGGGTAAGACATTTTGGCAAGAAGTAGGCATCCCCATGGGCACCAACAGTGTTCCCCTTCTTGCAGATCTGTTTCTTTATCCATATGAATCGGAATTTCTGTTCGGATTGGCAAAGTCAAAACACGGTAACTTGGCCAAAAAGTTTAACTTTAGCTTCAGGTATATCGATGGTCTGATATAGTTCAATAACAATGAATTAACCATTTCCCTTCCACTGATTTACCAACCTGAACTAGAAATAAAGGAGACCAGTGAGACCGCCTCATCAGTGACAAAACACTCTCCACAAGACTGTATGACAAGAGGGATGATTTCAATTTTCCAATAGTCATCCATCCCTTCATTCCAGCAGCTTCAGCCTCTGGTGTTTACATTTCGCAACTTTTGAAATAGAATCGAGCATGCTCTTTCTACCAAGATTTCAAAGAGCGTCATTTGACTCTTACTCAGAAGTTGTTTGATCAAGGTAACAATATTCAATGCCTCAGTAACGCTTTCCCAAAGTTTTATGGTAGACATGTAAAGATCATTTCCTAATTTGGCGCATCAGTGACAAAAATGATGTCCGATGCAGTTCCCTATTTTGACTTGTACCATATGTTCCCATGTTTTTTCAAGTGAGCAATTGACTTGTCTTTGCATGTGTTTGTGACGGTGCGACTGGTGAGGCAGGAGAAGCTAACCTTTCCGTGAACACCTGGTGTCATTACTTTTTGATAGTGATTCATAAACACATGCTCACGATATAGTTGAATCGTAGAATGGACTCTGCTTTATGCAGAGATTTCTCTTGGATATGGTAGAGTTTTGTCGCTTTATTATTATTATTATTATTATTATTATTATTATTATTATTATTATTTAAACCATTGCTTACCTGTCCTGTTCATCCCATTTATATGAACTATTAATATATTTTTCATGCAAACTGTGTAAGTGCCAGTTACTACTGATAGGACAGGACAGGCTTACTCTTTTCGCAAACACCTAGTTTCATCACCGATTTTCTGTAATCCATTAATGTAATAATTATCACAGCTATTTTGCCTTTTACACCCAATGGATTCTATTTCGTCGGATAATCGAGACTGGTTATTGTTTGGCATTACGATTAAAATATACCTACCCTGTCCATCCTACATATTTGTACCATTTATCATGGTCACACAGGGGCGGTCGGGTAGCCTAGTGGTTAAAGCGTTCGCTCGTCACGCCGAAGACCCGGGTTCGATTCCCGACATGGGTACAATGTGTGAAGCCCATTTCTGGTGTCCCCCGCCGTGATATTGCTGGAATATTGCTAAAAGCGGCGTAAAAAAACTATACTCACTCACTCACTCATGGTCACACAGAGAGGACACCCGGCGACTGCACCAAGTGTTCCCTCCTGGCTTGGTCAAACTGGGGCTCATGTTCAGAGACCTGTGGTGGCGGCGAGCAGTCCAGAACGAGGAAGCCATGCTGCAGACTCCAACAGTCCCAGCAGGAATGTATGGCAGAGTGTGGGTTAAGTGGGGAGGACTTGCAAATGACGCACAACTGCAGTCAAACATGTGACCACGGAGTCTTTAACAACAGCCAGTGTCACTGCTACGATGATTATAGAGGACGGTGTTGTAACATAGGTAAGAACTTAAAACAGCTCTGGCTGTCATCATCTTTGACATCATCTTTGACATCATCTTTGACATTATTCGAATTCTCAAATATAATCAAATATTTCATCTAAAGGTCAATTTGATGGTGTTATTTGCACACATTTCGAAAAATATCAAATCAAAGTAATCCATAATTTTTATAGGTATTTTTTTTCTTTTGCGATATACATTGCAGATTTTAATTATAATATGCATGTTGATGTTGAGTCGTTGGAGAATAACAATGTTATTGTCTTTGTGAGAGTGAATGCTGGTGGTACGGTTGAGAGTGAGTGTTGGTGGTATGGTTGAGAGTGAGTGATTTATGCGCTTACTACTATTTTCATGTTATAATTCCTTTATCAAGTTGCTTTTGCAAAACAGTTCAGGCTACTTTGTGGTGAATATGTGCTGTGGTTAGAGGCTTCCATGTAACCCTGAGCAATGTAAGCGTGAACACTGTTTCTTTTGACTATATGTTCTTCTTAATAAAAGGACATTCCCTTGGAGATTTGATTCATTAGCTCCAGCTGATGTTTCATGTGTACCTCATATTGGTATTATCATCCAAAACGGGCCCCAATTGAGATATCGCTTGGATGAGATCAAGCGATGATATCGCTGCAATTTCAAAATACTTTGCAGACCATTGTGACGTCATTTGTTACCATGATGACACAATCAAATGACATCATTAATGGCTCTGCTACTGAAGCTGTTAGCAGTCCCTTTTACACTTAAGACACTGCGTATTACTGTCTACAAACTGAAAAACTTGGAAGAATGATGTTGGATGATAAATAAAATCTCACCAGGGTTTCTTTTGATATCAAATATAACAACACTCTTTGCCTCGGAGTTTTTCCGTTTTTTTCCAAATTTGATATCAAAAGACACTACTCCTTCATTCCAAACACACCTGGCCGCTTGGTGGGGATTCTTCATCGCTGAATAAACTTTGTTTCGTGCTTCTCCTAACCTTTAACATTTTCCACTTTGACATCGTTTCAATTTAAATATTTGATGGTTAATGGTGAAAGGAGTTACCCCCCTTGAACGATTCTTCAGCGTATTCATAGATTATGTTCTCGCTGAGTATTTTGTATTTTCTGGCAGTGTAGTGCACTGTACAAGGATAGGCATTGTAAACAATAAACGTTTCCACTATGCTTGAAGTACATTTGATGATAAACTGATGATACACTTGTAAACCTTAGGTTTAGAACACCCAATTTTAGTGATGAAGAAATAGATGTAACTGTCTGTTCTATGTGATAAAATGTGATAGCAATATTTATCCTCATGATACATTTAGAATTCTCATTACTTAACAAATCATGAATCTTTTAATGTGTGTAGGATATAAAGTGAATTTGTGACAGATCCAATTTATGCCAAATAGTCTGACCATTGTCCTTGCATCTCTTCAGATTTTAGTTCATTTAATCATGTCACGTGTCACATGCATGTCTGCTGTTCACTTCTATCAATTGTTGTACATGCTGAGTGTAATTGGGCCCCTTGGAATAACTGGAGAAGGTGCACCAGGACTTGTGGAGGGGACACCTGCTTTGGATAAACGCTTGCTGCTGAGTTCTGTGTTCAAAAGTACTACTACCGAAAGGAGTAAGGGATCTTCGAATATAGCCTCTTTGATGATATAACATGTTATCGCACAATATCACGATCCAACAGATGCCATAAAGTCACTTGACAGGAATTATTTTTGTAAGCTTTAATTTCAGCACCTACGTGCTTGGGAAAATATTGCCTAACGTTCACAAAGAGTTTAGACAGAGGTTTCCCGTCACAGTGCATATGTGTACAAACACAAGGGCGGTTCACTGAGACGTTGCAATCCTATGTTGTATTTCTTTAGTAAGTGAAAATATGTCTTACACGGTGACCATTTGACAAAGACGTATATATGATAAAGCGATTTTTACCATCGTTTTGTAAGTATCATGTAAATAGTATTTATTATGCAACTTTTTTCTTGCAACTCATTTTAGCATCCCTATCGCTTAGTCAATATATCCAATTTACATCAGGTGTGATGTATTGAAATATTTAATAGTTTCACATAGTACTGGTATTAATTGTGCCGATAAGTTCATTACACCCCTGTCTCTTATATATGCCTAGTGATAGTATGTTATGCACTTGTTTTTTTTATATTTATCAGTAGCATACAACATCCTATTTCTGATCTATTGTGTTGGGGTAGACTCGTTCATGTGATGACACCTTCCCCTTAAAATCGTTATGTCATGTTTACAGAGGCCACGCCCAAAAACTGCTCCAAGTGTCCCCCTACAGCTGGTTGTCCTGGAACACGTGTTCAGAGACATGTACAGACTACGAGTCGCCTACCTTGCTGCAGGCTTCATCAGACGCCGCAAGGCTGCATGGCAGGTTGGTGCTGTAATCATGGATGACTATTTGATGTGGGATGGCAAAAGCGTAACTACAGAGAGAGTCTTCCAAACGACGCAAGTAAAGACAGAGATTATAATGTCACACAAAGAAAAATCATGTTTTAACAAAAGCTGTGGTTGTCAATTCCCCAAAACCTGACAAAAAGAAGTTTATGTGCGCAATGCTTGAGTAATTAACGTGCATGTATCAATGACATTCTTCAAATTAAAACATCAGTACTTATAAACCAAAGCAGGCTATCTCCGCGCCTATTTTTGCTAAACCTATAAGACATTATGACAACTTCAGAGTGATCTGCTACTGCTGTTTGCCCAGGAAGGACGAGTACAATCTACACGCAAATGGGCTACAGAATCCGGACGACATCACATCTTTGACTGGTGCGTCAAACGTTTACGGGAGACTTACTGGGGAGTCAAAAGTTTACGGGAGACTTACTGGGGAGTCAAACTTTACGGGAGACTTACTGGGGAGTCAAGCGTTAACGGGAGACTTACTGGGGAGTCAAACGTTTACGGGAGACGTACTGTGGAGTCAATCCTTTACGGGAGACTTACTGGGGATTCAAACGTTTACGGAAGACTTACTGGGGATTCAAAAGTTTACGGGAGCCTTACTGGGGAGTCAGACGTTTACGGGAGACTTACTGGGGAGTCAAACTTTACGGGAGCCTTACTGGGGATTCAAACGTTTACGGGAGACTTACTGGGGAGTCAAACGTTTACGGGAGACGTACTATGGAGTCAATCCTTTACGGGAGCCTTACTGGGGATTCAAACGTTTACGGAAGATTTACTGGGGAATCAAATGTGTACGGGAGACTTACTGGGGAGTCAAACGTTTACGAGAGACTAACTGGGAGTCAAACTTTTACGGCAGATTTACTGGGGGGTCAAACGTTTACGGAAGACTTACTGGGGATTTAAACGTTTACGGGAGACTAACTGGTGAGTCAAACGTTTACGGGAGACTTACAATGGATTCAAACGTTTACGGGAGCATTACTGGGGAGTCAAACGTTTACAGGAGACTTACTGGGGAGTCAACCGTTTACGGGAGACTTACTGGGGATTCAAATGTTTACGGGAAACGTACTGTGGAGTCAAACGTTTACGGGAGACTTACTGGGGAGTCAAACGTTTACGGGAGACTTACTGGGGAGTCAAGCGTTTACGGGAGACTTACTGGGGAGTCAAACGTTTACGGGAGACTTACTGGGGAGTCAAACGTTTACGGGAGACTTACTGGGGAGTCAAACGTTTACGGGAAACTTACTGGGGAGTCAATCCTTTACGGGAGACTTACTGGGGAGTCAGACGTTTACGGGAGACTTACTGGGGAGTCAAACTGCGGACTGGCGATCGGGATAATCAGGAAGAAAATTTTCATTTGAACATTATCAGCTCAGAAAACCAAGTGCTAAACCAAGTTGTTGCGAGGAACTGTTCACTATAAATAGTACTAACAAGCGTATAGTCGACGAAGTCATCTTTATCCTCCACCCATTTTAACACGTTATGGTCCCAAACCAGGTAACTGACCCAACATTTCGCTTAGCCCATGTCAAAATAGCTGCAATGGAAATTGTAAAATAAACATTTCTAAAACTCCTTAATATCAAATGGCACCAGTTCAGTATGTGCTTTATATATATATATATATACATGCAATGTTTGGCAAGGAAATGTTTAATAGATTATTTGTTATACTCCATAAGTGAACCCACCCTATATTAAAACTTAAATCCAACTTGTTGTCATGGAAACATTAACAATAAAAAGTTCTAAAAGTGCCTAATATAAAAAGGCACCAGTTCAGTATGTGCCTGGTAGACATGCAAAGGTTTGTAAGAAAGTATTTAACAGTTTTTGAGGTACGCTCCGGAAACGAACACCACCCTTATAGAACCTAAGTCCAACTTGTTGCCATGGAAACGTAAAAATTGTTTATTTTTTATAAAAAAAATTTCCTAAATAGCAAAATGCCCCAGTTCAGTATGTGTTTGGTAACATGCAAAATTTTTGTCAGAAAGTATTGAATGGGTTTTGAGTTATGCTCCGGAAACGAACTGTACCCTATAGAACCTAAGTCCAACTTGTTGCCATGGAAACCTGTCAAGTGGATAGAGGGTCTACCGGTCGGAAGGTCTGTGTTTCCAGCTCCGGCCGCGTCATACCATTAGACATTGAAAGATGACACTTGTTCCTTTGCCTGGCGCTCGGCAAAAACAAGGACCGGTCGGTTTGAAGTTGTTTTGTTTGTTTGTTGTTTAACGCCGCACTCAGCAATATTCCAGCTATATAACGGCGGTTTGTAAATACTCGAGTCTGGACCAGACAATCCAGTGATTGACATCATGAGCGACATCATGAGCATCGATACACGCAATTGGGATACGATGACATGCATCAACCACGTCAGCGAACCTCGCCATCCGATCCCGTTAGTCGCCTCTTCCGACAAGCACAGTCGCCCTTTACGGCAAGCTTTGGGTTGCTGAAGACCTATTCTACCCCGGATCTTCACGGGTCGATAGTGATTAAAAAATACATGCTTATGATATAGTTAGAAACGTACAATCGACTCCGCTTTTAGCAGGGTTTTCTTGTGATTATGGGAATTGTTTTGTCGCTCTGAATTCTAGTGTAAATCTTACAAGGCACTAAACGTGCTTCTATACATGCATGTTAAATGTCTGCACAGGTTACTCTAGTTACAGCAACATCCCTTGCTCCATATAACATACATCATCACAGCGTATTTAAAACAAACATATATTTAGAAGTGTGCTCTTATGCTTATTTACTGTTATTACCGTAAATAATCCAAGGAATTTCCAAACCCAGAAAAACGTGATCGATCCAAGTAATCAACATGGTTTTAATAGTTATCGTGTTTTTCATCATTCAGTAGACCGCCTCCATGGTCTAGTGGTAGAGCGTCCGACCGGAGAGCGGAAGGTCCGGGGTTCGATCCCCGGCCGCGTCATACCAAGGGACGTTATAAGATGGTACTTGTTGTTACCCTGTCTGGCGCTCGGCATTAAGGGACAAGGACTGGTCGGCTCGGAGTCCGTATACTGTGTCTGAGTGGAGTATTCATGTTAAACTGCGGCATGATATCTCAGTGTACTATAAATCGGCATCAGTCCGGACTAGTACAAGCAGCCACACACACGTGCATGCACGTCGCTATATAAGTGCAATAATCTTGGACGCGACGTTAATTTCACCTCACCACCTCATCATTCAGTAATATGTAGGGATTGAATTGTCTTATATGAGAAGTAATCATCGTTAGTGGAGTAGAGGGGGCGGTCGGGTAGTCTAGTGGTTTAAGCATGCTCGTCACGCCGAAACCCGGGTTTGATTCCCGACATCGGTAAAATGTGTGAAGCCCATTTCTGGTGTCCCCCCGCCGTGATATTTCTGGAATATTGCTAAAAACGGCGTAAAACCGTACTCACTCACTCACTAGTGGAGTAGATTGCAGATACTTTTTCCAAGTCAGTTCATAAACTTTTCATCAACCACGATTTTTTGTAGTTTCATCATGGGAATATACTGCTGACGCTGCCACGGACGCCAAACATAAATCGACTTTCTTGTAATGTACACATGATAGATAACATACCACAACATCAATAACAGGACAGTAATTGAACGATAATTGAAAGATATCCTTCTCCATTCGAAGTCAATTAAGGGTTCCAATCAATTTTCTGTGTACTCATTAAATTTGGCTCTACATCGTTCGCAATGGGATAAACAGGACATGAGTGCGAGGCTGTTCGTGCATCAATACACCAGTGTCATCCCATTCAGGTCTTCACAGCTGCTGCCAATAACGTTTGTAGGTGTTAGTGAGTGAGTGAGTGAGTGAGTTGGGTTTAATGCCGATTTTAACAGAATTCCAGTTATATCACGGTGTGTCAGCTTAATGTGGGAGGAAAGCCCGAAGTGATGCAGGTCTCAGACGTTTACCATTTCGGTGAAACCCACGAGCACGGGTATGGTGCTGACAAACCTGGAAACATAATTGGGGCGAACCGGGATTCGAACCAACAATCATAGGTTTCTGGTGTGTCCAAGGGACTCAACTCTACACAGCGAATCGCGGCGCCTTAGACGAGTGGGCCACCCGTGCCCCCCTTGTTGGTGTTAACTTACATACACATATATATGCTACAACAAGACGAGCCATAGAAAATCAAGGTAGATAAATCAAGGATGATAAATTCAGGGGTGTTAAACTGAACAAAATACTTGAAAAAAGTCATTATGTATCAGGTTAGCGAAGACATTTTAAACAATTGTTCCCTTGACGCGTTCTTAAAAGAAAATATTGTAAAAATATACTGAACAACAAAAGTTCCTGTGACATTGAATAAGATTTAATGCAAAGTTATGTTTTTTACCAAATCTGAAACAATTTCGGTTTACAACAGATAAAAGACTCATGTAAGTGTTCAAATGGTTTCATTTGCCATAATGACATAAAAAAATGCGTGATTTCATAAAAAAAAACATGAACATGCAAAAATGTCAATTTACAAATCAATAGCGTGTGTGTCCACCTCTGGTTGCGATGCAAGCAACACATCTTCGTCTCATGGATTGGACCAGGCGTCGCACAAAGTCCTGTGGGATATCTGTCCACATCTGCTGGAACATGTTGTTTCGAAGTTCCTGGAGTATGTGAATAACACATGGTTGACGTCGAAGGCGCCGATCAATCTCATCCCACATGTGCTCGATTGGTAAGAGATCAGGGGAGCGAGCCGGCCAGGGGATGACATTCACGTTATTTTGTTGAAGAGAATCCTGAACAAGTCGAGCCCCAATGAGGCCGGGCGTTGTCATGTTGAAAGGTAATGCCTGGGCCATGACGACGCAAAAACGGTAGAACAACAGGGCCGATGATCTCGTCGCGGTAGCGCTGTCCACTGAGATTTCCCTCTAGCACTATCAAACGGGTCCTCTGTTTTGCTGTAATCCCACCCCATACCATAACGCTGCCGCCCCCGAACCGATCTTCTTCCTTGACACAATGATTGACGTAACGTTCACCTCGACGTCGGTACACTCGAATCCGTCCATCGCTGTGGCTGAGGTGAAAACGAGACTCGTCAGTGAATAGAACTTGTCCCCACTGCATGGCCGTCCAGCGTAGACGCTATCTGCACCACTGTAGACGTGCTTGGCGGTGGTTTCCTGTCAAAATGGGACGTTTGGTGGGTCTTCAGGCGACAATCCCTGCACATCTGAGGCGGCGACGCACGGTTTGTGTAGATATTCGTCGAAGGCCAGGGATGCTTCTTGCAGTCACTGTTGTTGGCTGGAATCGATTTTGTAGGTGTGTTGTTCGAATCCAGTTGTCTTGTCGATTATTGGTTACGCGTGGCTTGCCACTCCGAGGATGGTCTCTGACTGCATTCGTCGGTTGCCAACGTTGCCATAAACACCAAATGGTGTTTCTGTGGACGTTAATTGTCTTGCAACATCACGTTGACTCGATCCTTCTTCAAGCATACCAATGGCTCATTTTCGGACAGGCGTGGCATTTCGTTATGTTGAATAATTGCGTAATTTTGTTGTTTTTCTGAGTAGTTGTTGTCAGAACGATGCTAAACAATGCATATGGAATCCCGTTAACGCACATGTTTTTATACCCATTCTTGGGTAGTGAAATGCATGGGGCTTGCATAAAAGTAAACTTTTGCATGGAATGCATGCTTTTTTGTTACAGTTGTGTTTTTGTGACTTGATTCCATACATGTACTACAATATTCAAAACCAGACTTTACTTGTTTGAAAAATACACTAAAATATTTGTGTCACAGGAACTTTTGTTGTTGAGATTATATGTGTGGGGGCTCCTCCTTCCAGAGATAAAACGATCGTGTTATTGAGCACCAATAATACTAAATAGTTAGTCGCGAAGGTGTTGTAGAGCTTCCGGTGTAGACAGTTTATCAGTTCCACGCACCATTATCCCCCGGGCCTATCACAGACTTCTGGCTGAATTTTAACGATAGTGTATCACTTCAGAAAGTAGGCTGGCTTAGAACGAATGAATTATGCACAAGTGTCGTGTTAGAAACAATCAAGGACAAACTAGTTACGTACCAAAATCTATACTTTCTGTGTCCAAAACACAGTTCGTGAGACAAATCAACATCATGTCGCATCAGTAGATCTGCTTAATTGACACGTGAACTGCGAATTGTGACATGTTTGTTGTTAGCATGTAGCTGGTTGTTCATTGATTCATTGACTGGTCTCGCCAATTATCAAAGCTACAAGAACAGATATAACTTTCTGCGCAGTTCATCTGTCTTGATGCGGGCTGTATACAAAGAGGGAAAGACGCACACACCGCCTCGAGCTCTCTACTGGCTACAGCAATGTTGGCATACGCAGCCTCTCTAATGACCACTGTCATGTTGGCCGGAGCTGTTCTGACCGAAGGGGCTAGAAGTGTCCCTGGCCTGGCTGTTGCACCTGCCCATGTGATCAAAAGCTGGACGGTGGCTGCCCGGGACCGGTGTTACAAGCTGTGTCTGTACACACCCAACTGTGTCTCTGTGAACTGGCGCTGGAAGACAACCCCTGCGGTGTGTGACCTCAACAAGGTGACTGAGACAGACTCCCCTGAAGCCGTGGCACCTGATGACGAGACCGTCTACATTGAACTGTCTGCAGAGGAAGTAAGTACACCTATGCAAGGAGGGTAATGAAAAAGTGTTCTGTGAACTTATTCTTTTCATAATGTAGAGGGGCAGCTTAAGTTGATACAGTATTAAAACCAATCCCAACATCGCTGAAGCAACCTTTACCTATCGTAAGAGCCGAATAACGGTGCATGTCATCATAAAACGACTCCACAGATCGATGCCCATGATGTTAACCCCTGGGTTTTCTCGCCCAGACTCAATTATTCCGAGACGAACGCCATATTGTTGATTGCGGCGTCAAACAAAACAAAAATCAAAACCTGTTAATTTGCGAATGGTGTTTAACGTTCAAAGGTACCTGGAGCAACCAGCAATATTGATACTCTAAATTTTCAGTCAAGAACACATTGATGCTTCACCCAATGTTTCAGAATTTCATAATACACAATTTGCTTTTCTTAATACTTGATATATTTTTTGCATGTCAATATGATTTGATTTAACAGACCGTTAGAGTTGTACCCTCGTAAAACAGAACATTTTGTAAACGTAAATTGTTTTGAACATTTTGCATTCAGAAAACATTCTACTTTGACCCAAAACTCTTTAACATGCTTGCATTCCCAATATACATGAAGAAAGGATTCAGCGTCGGTTTCACAAAATGAGCATAGATCATCATCGAGAATTTTTACTTCAAACAATTCTTTCTTTGTAATGATGATGCGATGAATAAATTTATATTGAAAATCAAGTAATTTTACATCTTTTGTACGTTTTCTGTATCTGATAAAAAAACATCCTACCACGATATATCTAAGTCAAGAATGGTATCCCATTTTTCACATACTGTTGTGAGATTTGCTGTAGTTATATTTAAATGTCGATTATATAAGATAATATGATTATTTCTAATAGCATATATTTCCAGGACTTTAGTATGTTTAATAGAACCTGGTTATAGTCAATAACTGTGCCTTTAATTTGGTATTTTCTTTTAAGTTCATTATATTATCTTCATTACAGAGATCTTTAATAGTTCCCTTAAATAAACAATTTCTTGTAAACCTTTTTAAAACTAATGGTTACACCAAAGAGGTTCTGATGTGCTTCTATGGTGTTTGTGGAGTTGGTTTTGTGTCTTCTATACGAGTGAGTGAGTGAGCTAAGATTTATCGTCACATCGGCAATATTTCAGCCATATAGTGACGAGATAAATTTATACATATAAATACAGACATTTTGACAAAATAAAAAATCTGTCAACGAAGGACAGTAAAACAAACTAGGATATCACAGATATGAATATAAAACTAGCATGGAACAATAAAAAGATGAACAATACACAATACATAATACATGTTAAAAACGGGCTATTGATCGCCAAACACTAAAGGTAGATCATAACACTAGGGACCATGGGGACTTACGGTACTTTTGCTACCTGCATGGGCCCTAGCAGGAGTCTTCTATACGATGTTCCCCAAATAGCCAAAACATGTCTCTAGTAAGGATTAGCTAAGTGTACACAGTTTTTAATATTGGCCCCAAGAAGGAATATGGTTTTTAGTGGAATGATGCTAGGGTTATTACTGTGTTTTTTGGGTTTTTTATAACTGACAGTTTTATAGAATATAGAAAAGACCTCACCTCTATCACATGATATACTGTTAAAAGCGACGTTCAACTCACTCACTCACTCACTCACTCACTCACTCACTCACTCACCCACTCACCCACTCACCCACCCTTCCTCGTACCACTGGATTCTGTTTCTTATTTGGTACCGCCTCCGTGGTCTAGTGGTAGAGCGTCCGCCCGGAGAGGGGAAGGTCCGGGGTTCGATCCCCGGCCGCGTCATACCAAAAGACGTTAAAAAATGGTACTTGTTGTTTCCCTGTCTGGCGCTCGGCATTAAGGAGCTAAAACAAGGACTGGTCGGCTCAAAGTCAGTATAATGTGTCTGAGTGGGGTATTCATGCCAAACTGCGGCATTGTATCTCAGTGAGCTAGCACTATAAATCGGCATCAGTCCGGACTAGTACAATCAGCCACACACACACACACATGCACGTCGCTATATAAGTGCAATACTCTTGGACGCGACGTTAAACCCAATTTCACCTCACCTCACCTGTTTCTTATTTGTATTCCGCTTGATTCTTCTTCTTTCAGTTTTTTTAAAATATTCGGAACATTTTCTCTAATTTCCTCTTCGATTTGCTTTATTTTTTCCTCTTAGTTTTTACTTTCTTCATTTTTGGTTTTCTTTAGTGAGTGAGTGAAATTTAACGTCACAATATTTCAGCCATATCGTGACGAAACAGTTATAATAAAATAATTTTCTTTTGATTTAATTTAAAAGCTGTCAGCGATGGACAGTGAGATAACTAGAGTATCACAGTTTCGATTTTAAAACTAGTTGAGAACAGTTAAAAGAATACATTTTCATTCAACAACACAATATAAACATGGGCTATAGATGACCAGCACAAATGGTTTTCTTTAAATAAGTGGGAAAAGATTTTGATTTGTCTCTCAATTTCATTAAAAATGTTTTTAAAAATTATCACTGATTTATAATTCTACATTTAGGTCTTCAGTTTTTCTGGCCTCATCTTTGGAATATTTACCGTTTGAATATTCTAGTTTTGTTTCTTCTAGTGTATCTTTCACTATTTGTATAAAGTCATTGTTAAACAGTAAAGATGTATTCAACTTCCAGTCGCCCCTACCTCTTTCTTTGCTAAGTGTATTTGTCAAAGTTATTGCAGTGTGATCAGATTTGTATCCTGGTATAATTGTAGAATCAATAATTATATTGGACCCGTGAAGATTCCGGGGTAGAATAGGTCTTCAGCGACCCATGCTTGCCGTAAAAGGTGGCTATGCTTGTCGTAAAAGGCGACTAACGGGATCGGGTGGTCAGGCTCGCTGACTTGGTTGATGCATGTCATCGATCCCAATTGCGTGGATCAATGCTCATGACATTAATCACTGGATTGTCTGGTCCAGACTCGATTATTTACAGACCGCCGTCATATAGCTGGAATATTGCTGAGTGCGGCGTTAAACAACAAACCAACAACAACAACAACAATAGTTATATTGAGACCAAGAAGAAGTCAAGTCTAGGATGTTGTTTTTGGCTTTTTCTTCCACCATGTGTATTTCTTTGCATCTTGATTTTTCTCTCTCCAAATATCAATTAGATCAAAGCTTTCTGTTTTTTCAAGTACTAACTTTATTGCTTTGGGATTATTGATATGCTTATAATTTTCCAAATCGACAGCTGGATTGCGTACCAAGTTCCAATCTCCGTATATGACCAGTGTTTCGTCAATATTATTGAATAAAGCATTATAAAATGCAGGTTCATCTTGATTTGGCTCATACATATTAGTCAGAGTTATCCTTATGCTCTCTATTGTGATATCTGCTATGATATAGATTCCATTAATATCTTGTTTAAATCCATGGAATTTTATTTCTAAAGTATTACAAAAAAAAGGTGGTAACTCTTCTTGCATTTGACTTGTAAGGCGCTATTATACTTTGAATTCCCCATTCATTTCTCATTCATGTGTCGTCTTCTGAATGTCTTTTAGACATATTATAGAAAATTTCTTCTTCCGCCATAGGTTCATTACTTCTTTACATTTTTCGGCGTTAAACAAGAAATAATCAAACATCATAGTAAATAAGAACAGAGTACCATTTGTTCGATCACTTTACTTGAGAAAATCAGCGTGAAATGACAATAACTAAACAAGTATCGAACAGGTTAAAACACGGGCTTGCTTATAATTATATCTGGTTCCGGTTCCGGTTCCGATTGCGCATGTGCACAAGGGACCGTCTATTACACAGAGAACATTGTACTATACGGCGCCCCTATCTCCCTCCGTCTTTATCATGCTAATGGATAAAGGCTGAGAAATTACAAAGTTTAATGGATGTGAACGAACGTCCATATAACCCATGACATGACTATTCCATGGAGTAGTCTTTGTACCAAGTAGGCATGCTGGTCGCTCTGGTGGATCGGTGTAGACATGGTGCTGGTGCTGGCGGTATCACATCGGACTCCGGTGGGGGTGGGGATCTCAGGGGCGGGGGTGGCGACTGAAGGATCCTGCGCCTCGGTGTGCCTCGCCCTGGTGCTGCTGGCGTGACTGAATCGGGTGGTATCTTGCGCCAGGGTGTGCTTACTGACGTCAGTACAAGCGGACGTGTGGTTCCTGTCTGCGTCGTGGGCTTGCTGTCGAAGGCATGTAGCTGCGGTGTCATGACGGGTGCTGGTAACGTGATGTGGGTTGCTATGTCGTTATAGATTGATCGGGGTGGCGGCTGGTCGTTGTGGACTGGCCTGAACTTGCGCAGGAATTCCCTATTCCGAAGTGTGACTCTGCCCAAGCCGTCAATCTTGATCGCGTATTGGTCATGTTGGCGTACCTCCACGATACTGCCCGTCTTGTCCCATTTGTTGTGTGGGGTCCGGTCTGGTTCTGTACGCGGACTAAGTCCCCTACCGCGAGTGGTGGAAGGCGTTAAGTGTGCTCCGCCCAGGTGTCAGGTGTGCGCATATGGCGTTTGGGGAGGGCTTCCTCCCTTGCCTTGAGTGTCTTACGCCAAGTTTCATGTGGTCTGTACTTCCCGGGGATAATCGGTATGAAATCGCGTATCGGGCGGCCGAAGACACACATTGCCGGGGAGATCTTCGTGTCAGGGTCAGGTGTGTTACGATATTGTAGTATCGCTCTCTACACAGTCTCAGTGTCAAGTTCTCCCTGCGGGCCGGTGTTGTCAGTGATAAGTCGTTTAATCGTCTTCACACCAATCTCACGACAGTTGCTGTTGGGGAAGGCCACCGATGATAGGCGATGGTGTATGCCCCATCTGTGCAGGAAGGACCCGGTCTCGGTCGAGGTGAACTCCGGCCCCCGTCCGATGAGAGCTCTTCTGGCGTCCCGTATGTCTGAAGGCGCGACGTAAGTGGTTTATGAGGCCGGTGGCACCACCTGTCGACACCGAGATGATCGGCCAGTTCGAATATTGGTCCACCATAACGAGGTAGTGTAAACCCTGTTTACGAAGACGTCCAAGCACACTGCCTGAAAGGAGTAAACAGCCGGGACAGGTGAGGTTGGCGGCACTCCAGGCTGTGATGGTGCCATCCGGTGGCAGTGTTCGCAGTTGTTCCGAGTGGCACTGAGATCGGCCGACATGCCTGGCCAGAACACTGAGGATTCTGCACCTCGCCGCGGAGTGAGGGTAGTATGATTACTCTGTCCTTGTATAGGATCTATCTGTCTGTCGATGTAATGTTGTCGCGGTACTGGTGAAAGTCTGGAATTGTCTTCGGCATCGCGATCTTCGAGTCGGGAATGCCGTCGACTGCAATTTCCTCCAACATGTGCATATGCTGCCGCTGCTGGTGGCCTCCCTGACGCGGTCCCATGTCACTGCCCGCGACGCTCCATGCCAGGTTGTCCTTCTCTACATCGTCGTCGTCTTCCAGCTCGGCTCGGCGAGTGAGTGAGTTAAAATTTATAGCCACGTCGGCAGTATTTCACCCATATCGTGACTACCAAGAGTTATACATAATATATACATTTAAACAATAACAGCCTGTCAACAAAGGACAGTAAAATACCTAGATGATCACAGAATATTATTTAAAACTAGTATACAACCATAAAAAGATGTCACTATACCTAACGATACAATATAAAAAAGGCTATAGATCGCCAGCAACTGAAGATAGATCACCTCACTTGGGACCATGGGGACTTACAGTACTTTTGCTACCTGCATGGACCCCAGCAGGATTTACTCCATCCCTTCAGGTGTCGGCGATGGCCTCGGCTCGGCGAAGGCGGTGTGCGTGATGGTTGGGGGCGGGTTACTATGGCGGCATTGTCATCCAGGAGGCGAATGTCCTATATTCGGTATTACAGACGTGTATACCGTGTTCCGGGGCTTCGGTTCGGTACGGTACCTGTCAACGTTCTCGTGGTCCGTTTGCACCAAGTCGTGTCTTCCTCAGCACTGATGATCCCTGCTTGACTGCCTCAATTTGTTTAGTTATAAATAAGAACAGAGTTCCATTTGTTCGATCACTTTACTTGAGAAAATCAGCCTGAAATGACAATAACTAAACGAGTATCGAACAGGTTGAAACACGGGCTTGCTTATCTGGTTCCGGTTCCGATTGCGCATGTGCACTGGTACAAGGACCGTCTATTATACAGGGGCGCCGTATAGTACAGTGTTCTCTACATAGATACCAGCCACCTGGTCTTTGCAATTAATTCTTGAGCTTCTTATTGTGTGTAATCAAATGCAGTGTTAATGCAATATTAAATCCCTCACGTACTGCCTCCACAGTCGTTTAAAGAAAGGTTTCTCTTCAGCAGTCTGGCCGGGTGCGCATGTGTCAGCCCTCAGAGATGCATGTACCTGTTCTCGGTCATCAAGGATATCTGTGCCTAAGGCTGGGTAAGTCGTTCACATTTACAAAGAACTAAACAAGAGGCTATCCCAGCTTCGTCATTTGCTGAGAAAATACAAGCTGAAATCCATCTCAAGAACCCAATATGTCATAACGTTGTTGTTGTTGCCGTGCCAAATTGTTAACACGAACGGAAGAGGAGATATTCTGAACAGCAAAAAGAGGCACGAAAGATTTTGTTTAAATCTCTGAAGTTTAAAACTTGATACAGGTGACATTGACTACAACCAACTTCAAATAGTATGGACCGATTTCAATTAAAGTTTCGTGAAATAACCAGAATGTACATTTTCAATTTCGTTCTTGGCGTTTAGGGTTGAAAACCGACGACACGACGACAGAGGGAGGGACACTCCCTCCCCCTGTATCGACCACTACCAGAGGAGAAGGGACAGTTCCTCCTGTACCGACCACTACCCGCGAAGAAGGGACAGTTCCTCCCTCTGTACCGACCACTACCAGAGGAGAAGAACGGACAGTTCCTCCTTCTGTACCGACCACTACCAGAGGAGAAGGGACAGTTGCTCCTTCTGTACCGACCACTACCGGAGGAGAAGAACGGACAACAGGTAATATGAGAAACATCCTAATAAGGCTTTGTGAAACCAATGAGCTGCTATGCATCCGAAATATTGATTGTAATTGATAATTCTTTATACAGAGCATCTTTGTAACATTCGATATTTAGCAACTTATCTTAAACATGCATCTACAGTTACTGAAAACTGTCATTGGTATTATTATGTTCACGGGACATTGCATCAATTTAAACAAAGACTTCAACGTTTTCTTTTAGGTTAATACCAGTATAACTAAACACCGGTGAGCGATACCTCCCTTTTAAAGCTCACCTAGACCAAATGACCAAATGTGCGTTATCGGTGTTCCGGATTAACGCTGGTTTACGCTGCTTTTGGCATCATTCCAGCAACATTACGTCCATTTGTCCGCCCGTCCGCCCGTCCGCCCGTCCGCCCGTCCTTTGGTTTTGGACTTTCGCTGTGTATTCCGGTGGTTTTTATTAACGGTTGACTTGTCTTTGCATGTGTTTATGACGGGTGCCGGTGCTTGGGAGGGGTGTGCTCATCTTTTCGCAAGCACCAGGTGCGTCACAGTTAGATGGTGATTAGTAGTCACATGCTCATCATTTACCTGGAATTGTACAGTCGACTCCACTTTGGGCAGATGTTTCTTTAGAACATAGAAATGGTTTTGACTTTTATTTTTTCTTGGTATGTATATCTAACATGGCTAATAGGTATCATTGCTTTATTACAGGGAAGCCTTGTTCTTCTGGCTTCAAGCCTTATAACAAGACTATTCTACGTCAAAACAGACGAACCATGAAGACTTTGACGGTTGATCGATGTTTAGTGGAATGTCTCCTTGAAACGGAATATGTTTGTCGTTCTTTGGACCTCAGGCCAAGGGGCGGAGTTTTTGTATGCAGACTTTCTGATGTCACCAACGATTGGCAGAGGACTAGCGAAAATGTAACATACTATGAGCGAGTATGTCCTCCGTGAGACACTTGCTTAATAAGTTACATATACTGAACCGCAAAAGAAACGTCACCCCAAGTAACATTGCATGGAAAATTTGTCGTTTATATATCTGGTTAGTGTTTGGCAAAGTTTGTAAAATTTAACATTACCTTGTCCGAAAAAAATTCAATGTGATGATAAAAAATCAAAGCAGGTGTCAATATGACCGATCGCACAAACCCATCACGGCTACGACCATGGAAACCCGATGCACGTGAGTTCCGTGCAAATTGAAATGCACTTGCGTTCCCCCATGTCTTGCCCTATAACAATCCACCCAGATCGGATAACATTCATTCATTATTGAATTGCTACCACATGCCAAGATTGACAAGAAATCAGCGACACCAGGTCCTTGGACGATTCCAAGCTGAACAAACCGCCCGGCAAGTAGCCAATGCATTTCAAGTCCACGTAAGGAACATAAACAGGCTCCAGCAACGGTACCAGACCACCAACACTACATATGACCGACCACGTAGTGGAAGACCAAGGGTCACCACCCGACGTCAGGATCGTCAGATTGTGCGACAGCATCTTCAAGATCCCTTTGTTACTGCTGCAGAAACTGCTCGACAGACCATGGGGCACACCGGCGACACATTAGTGCGGAAACCGTGCGTCGACGATTAACAAGCAGACACCTCCACTGTCACAGGCCACACCGAGGACCCATTCTGACACCACGTCACCGCCGGGACCGTCCTCAGTGAGCAACACACCACCAGCATTGGCGCCACCAGCAGTGGAGAAGAGTCCTCTTTTCAGACGAGGGCCGTTACTGTATCTCAACAGCAGTTGGCAGAGAGAGAGAGAGAGAGAGTCTGGTGACGCCGTGGGGAACGTTATTCGGATGCTTGTGTTGTACAGAGAGACTCGTGGTCCGAGCATCATGGTATGTGGTGGAATTCGTCTTGCACAGAAGATCGGCCCTGTGGTCTTCCAGAACATCGGTCCAGGGAGAGGCAATGGTGTCACAACAGCTGGGTACATTGATCAAGTCTTGAGACCATACGCCATACCTCATTAGGCACATCGCCGCAACCACGAGTTTCAGCATGATGACGCCCATGCCCACACTACGAGAGCAACAAGAGACTTCCTCCAGCAGAATGGCATCAAAACCATGCAATGTCCTCAGTCCCAATTTAATCCCATTGAGCACCAAGGCCGAAAAAAGCAGCTGAACTGCGTCAGGCGTGCCCTGTGGCCTTCATCAAGCGCCTCATCCATTCCATGTATCGACGTTGCACGGCAGTCATCAATGCACATGTCGGACACACGAAATACTGACTTGTGATGCCATTTTCTCAGAGACTAGTGTTGTGTTTCACTTTAAGATCATTTGGCACGTTTGCCAAGTTTCATCTTTTTAATATGTCTTAAAGTATGTTTACAGTGTTTGGACAAATAAGGTTTCTCATATATCTATCCATGGTGACGTTTCTTTTGCGGTTCAGTATATATCAAATCAAAACTTAACCAATCAGAGATTGCTCTGTGCCCTCTACTATAAAAGTAGGTACAGTTTGATGCCAAGTCATCCTGCATCTGAATAAATCTTGGAATGCTAACAACTCTTATGTTATCATTCATCCTCAATTCATCTATTCTATTTTGTGGCGAGACATTTTCATGCGTTGTTTCAATAGTCGTTTTCAAATATGTTGAATGTGTTTTATGATTATTCCGTAAGATTTCGGGCACTTGCAATTATGTTATCATTGTATATTTTTAACTACATGCATAGGTTCATTGTCAAGTTATTGTTTAAAAATGTAGTTTTTACACTGCTGTGACGTTTCGGGAATGTTTTGAACACCAAAGTAGTGTGCACTCTTCAAACTCCATGTGTCATCTAAGTACGTGGTCATGTAAATTAATTTCGATCACCAAAATATGAACAGAATTATTCCTGATCAACATCTTGATAACCGTTTGATAAATGAGAAATCTAGTACAAGTATCAACAACATCGTCAAAATATGTCATGTCGTGAATATGTATAGATTCATTGCTGGCAGAAATGATGGACGCTCATATGCGAGCTCTGCATAAAATAACCTATGACACTTGTATTGGAAGAAATAAGATAATGCGGGAAACTGTGTTACCGTAATACATCTACAAATACTTCCATCATTAATGTTGCATCATTTCAAGCTGACATTGGCATGGTGAACCTTATGTGTTGTTTTGGTTATTGTACCGGGTTTTTTTTAAAATAAAGAACAAGTTCCAGTCTAAGACTACTTATGTATAAATATATAATGTACTGTTTGATTATTTGAGTCATGCTAATCATGAATAGTTGTAATATGAAACCAAGACGTTTATGACAGTCATCTGTAATAATATAATTTATGATTATTAGAAATGTTTATATGATTAATTCAATCGATATGTTTATTGATTGTTACACACTGCGTCTTAATAAATCTTGAAATGCAAGCAACCCTGATGTCATCATTTATCCTCAATTCATCTATTCAATTTTAAGGAACAACTTCCCTGAGACAACACGTTCTAAGATCCATCCACTTCTTTTAACGATGAGCAACTCTCCAGCAGATCCAGCCTTTGGTGTCTAAGTTTCACAGCTTCCCTACACAAGACTCTTGCTTGATAGTTGTTTGATCAGGGTTACATCAAAACCTTTATGGTAGAAATGTGGATGACAAGTTTGACTCATCAGTGACAGAAATAATATCCACTACCATTCTATTTTGCCTTGTACCATATGTTACCGTAAATGTTCAGGTGAACACTAATGACTACAGGACAACAGATTTTCCACTTCAAAATAGTTTGACACTTCTGCTCTGATGTGCACCAGGGAAAGACAGAGGCAGTGTTTAGTACCTCAAGATGGTCAAACGGCGCAATCTGGACGTCCACATCCAAAAGGACATTCTTGTATCATAAGGCCAGAATCCATCATACCATCTGTGGGTGAGAGGTAAGGATCCTGAATTTCTGGATGAGATACAACAACATGCCAAGTTTGTCGAACAACACCACACCCTAACCCCGATGGGAGCCTCGAAAGAAGTTGATAAAATAGTTGTTTCAGCACTGGCAGTCCATACGTATCAACAGACACACACACACAAACGAACAACAACAACAGACGAAACTGTGACACTGAGTGAGTGAGTTGAATGATGATGGTGATTGTATGTAAGATTAGCCACAATTAAAATGACAAAAATTCTACGTTTAAAATCGTAGTAATTGTAAATAGTCTTTGAATGACAGGGACTTGCTATACCCTCTCAGGAGGACAATAATTTTACAGTACTTTAACTTTCTGACACTGAAAAACTAGAATTGCATCAGTTCCTGCAAACCCAAAGAGATGTCTTTACTACAGAAGCAGTTAGGTAAGACCAATCTTCATTATAATACAATAGACACTGGTAGTGCTGATCTCGACAGGATGCCCTTCTACAGACAGTCTGTTCAGGTAAGACAAGAATGTGCTAAGCAGGTAGAGGAATGAAATGGACACTTCCTCCCTCTGTGGAACGCCTCCGTGGTCTTGTGGTAGAGCGTCCGCCCGGAGAGCGGAAGGTCCAGGGTTCGATCCCGGGCCGCGTCATACAAAAAGACGTTAAAAGATTGTACTTGTTGTTACCCTGTCTGGCGCTCGGCATTAAGGGGCTAAAACAAGGACTGGTCGGCTCGGAGTCAGTATACTGTGTCTGAGTGGGGTATTCATGTTAAACTGCGGCATGGTATCTCAGTGAGCTAGCACTATAAATCGGCATCAGTCCGGACTAGTACAAGCAGCCACACACACACATACACGTGCATGCACGTCGCTATATAAGTGCAATAATCTTGGACGCGACGTTAAACCCAATTTCACCTCACCTCACCTCCCTCTGTGCCAACCACTACAAGGGGAGAAGAGGGACACATCCGCCTTCTGTACCTACCATTACCAGAGGAGAAGAAGGGGCACTTCTTCCCCCTGTACCGACCACTACCAGAGGAATAAAAGGGACACTTCCTCCCTCTGTGCAGACCACTACAAGAGGAGAAGAAAGGACAGTTCCTCCCTCTGACACCAGAAAATATGATGAGTGAGTGAGTGCGCCGGGCTAAACGCCACTTTTATTCCAGTTATATCAGGGCGTGTCAGCTTAATGTGGGAGGAAAGCCCAAAGTGATGCAGGTCTGAGACGTTTACCACTCCGGTGAAACCCACGAGCACGGGTATGGTGCTGACAAACCTAGAAACATAATTGGGGGATTCGAACCCACAATCATAGGTTTCTGGCGTGTCCAGGGGACGCAACTCTGCACAGCGAATCGCGGCCCCCGGAAATATGATGAACATGCTAATAAGATTGCAATGCATCTCCAAAATATTGATACACTGTAATTGATAATTCGTAAGATGTACGCCTTCTTTATGCAGAGCATCTTTGTATCATTCGATATTTAGCACCTTGTCTTGATCTAAAGTTACTCAAATCTGTCAATGGTTTTATTATGTTCACAGGATATTGCATCAACTTAAACTAAGTTTGACAGACTTCAAGAGTTTCATTTAGATTGATATAACTAGCACCCCTCTGAGTGATACCTCCCTTTTAAAGCTCACTTTGAAATGTCCATTTGAGCTTAATTGTGCGTTATCGGTACTCCAAGACACTGGGTTTTGCATCACTTTTAACACAATTCCAGCAACATAACGTCCATCTTTCCGCCCGCCCGTCATCCTCTTTTTTCTTGTGTCGTGTGTTGGAGAAGAGTTATCTATGGTGCAACACTGGGCTCAAGTAGAGCAGGAAGTTTAAGACGATATGTCTCTACTTGAACATTTGGAAGAAATCAAGGAGGACCTTGCATTAAACAACCATATGGATGACGTAGACCGACATGCCAAACAGCAAGGAGGGGGAGCTCTTCCAACCGTTTTCTTAAAGCTTGTGACCAGGCAAAGGCCTCGACGATTCAGAGCCAATGCCGTAAATGTGCAACTTAACCCTCTCTGTTTGCAACAACAGAGACTCGAGGATTTACCGCAAGCACTTCCGGAGGAGTTTGACAATATCATTCAAGAACTAAGACTCGATGTCAATAGGCAAGATAGGTCTTGCCTTACACCATCTAGGATTAAATGTGCCCATTCGTATACCATTTCGTCGTTTGGGCGATTTGCGTTGAGAAAATATTATGGCTATGGTAGAAAAAGTACATCAAAGCAATGACATGGCCATTGACTTTCTCCATGGTGAAGGACGACAGCATTGTTCAAAGCACAGTCCCCAAAATCTGGATACTTTCTTGAAACAGAAAAGTAGTAAGAATAAAGAACCAGGACGATTTATGCGTTGCGAGAGCAATAGCTGTTGCTCTCCATTACGCCAAAAGACCTGCACCATTTCAACGACTGGATCCCATTAAAGCGTGGCATACAAGAAGAACTGCCTTGACAAGACCAAACAGGACTGATGTTCAAAAACAGGAGGCAGTGATGTTGTTTAGGGAAATTGCTACTGAGCCTGGGTCATGCACCGGTTTCAGCAATTACCTGGCACCAGAATACCAGCTGAAAGTATAATCTCAAGAAGTCTACAATAAGCTTCTGTACAAGAGTGAAGTGGAAAACCCCTCTAGGGTGAATATTGCGACGTTGGCTTCAATAATAACGAAGACCATCGCTTTACCAGGGAATTTAGATGTCATCAATGTGGACGTCCTGGCTATTGTGGTGAAGGTGAAAAGGAAGGTTTTCCATGTATCGATTGCAAGAGGTGGTTTCCAACTACTTATTCCAACCAGTACTTGTAAATCACTACACCGGTGTACCAACTGCAATCAAGAGGATAATGACTACGCATATACCTGTTCGGAACCCCTTACCCAAAACACTTGTGCTACAATACCCCCCATAAAGGAAGACCATGCTACTACATCAAACACTTCAGATCCTGTCTATGACAAACAAAAGATTATATTTTATGACTTTGAATGTCAACAGGAGACGGAGTGCATGTACCTAACTTATGGGTAGTACAGCTGGGATGTGGAAGGTGTATCAGGGACAAATCTACCAATCTGTGTGAGGGGTGTCCTTGAAGAATGAAAGATGAAGGGCCTTCAAGAACAAAAGTATTTCGAGGAGACAACACTTTTGGGGGAAATGGGAGGATGGCTTCTAACCCTTGTTGACCAGAAACGAAACAAGAAGAGGAATGCTCCAAACTCAGCTTTACAGGAAGATGATGGATGAGGAAGACGAATCAAAGTATTGGTCATAGCTCACAATTATCGCGGATATGATGGCCATCTGCTGCTTCAATATTTGAACAAACACATTGTGGTTGCTCCACAGATTGCCAGTGGGACGATTGACCTTCAAAGATTCTTTGAACTTTTCAGCATGCCATTGAAATCATTTTCAAAGACATTTGGGCTCTCTGAACTGTCAAAAGGATACTTCCCTTATTTCTTCAACACAACAGTCAACAAGAATTACGTAGGAGTCTATCCTCCCATGGACACCTATGGACCCAACATCATGTCCTCAGGCGAAGGGAAACTTTTATCAAATGGTATGAAGAGAAAGTTTCCTCCAATGCCATATTCAGCATGTCTTAGGACATACTGTCCTCTGGCAAAGTTATGTCAATATTCTTAGCAGAGGATCTGCTGCTTTCCGTGACGTATTCATCACGCCAAACAACGTGGATCCTTTCCTAGAGGCAGCAATACTTCCTGTGGCGTGTATGCTCATATTCAGAAAAAAACTATCTGGATCCTCAAACCATTGCTATCATACCGCCTCATGGATACAGACCGGAGAGGTTCCCTTTACAGCATTGATGGCTACGACAGGGATAGCAAGACTGTCTTTGAATTAATGGGCTGTTTCTGGCATGGCTGCACAAAGTGCTACAAGGCTGAATGGTGAGAACAATATCACACCCTGGGAACAACCATGAGAAAGGTTTGGTTTATCAAAACGCACTGAATCTCCTTGCTTTGCTCAGCCAGCACAAGGACGTGGAGAAAATTGTCCAGATCTGGGAATGTGAATTCAAAGACAGTCAGAAAACAAACCCAGTGTTGAAAGGATTCCTTTCCATCTTTGAATACCTGACAGATTCCTTGGATCCTCGCGCTGCATTCTTTTGAGGAGGAACCAACGCCACCAGATTGCATTATGCTGCCAAAGAAGAAAACATGTATATGTGTGTTCCTTGTATCCATACATTTGCAAGTATGGAAAATTCCCCCAGGCCACCCCAAGGTTGTGGATCAGCCCCCTGTGTCACAATTTAATCATCTAGAAGTATTTATCCAGTGTCATATTCTTCCACCATCACAACTGTACCATCCCTTATTATCCTACAGGGCTGGTTGGAAACTAATGTTCCCTCTGTGCAGATGGTCAGATGGATGGCGATTGTCGTCATACGGATGAGGAACGAGCATGGGTGGGAACCTACACAACAATTGAGGTGCAAACAGCTGTACCCGAGTGTGGATTCAGGTTTCTACACATATTCGAGGCCTGACATTTTGATAATCTTTCCCGAAAACAGTAGAAATACCAGTCAAGGAAGATTATTTGCCAAATATGGGGACAACCTTTTAAAAATAAAACAAGACAGCAACGGCTTCTCTGAAGGATGTACATACCCCCAACATTACATTCAGCAGATATGTCAGAAAGAGTGGGTCACACTCGATGTAAACCGGATCATGAAGAATATTGTGCTGCGTAAGTACGTTTAAATAACTATTGGGGCAAGTTTGGGCAAAGGCTAGGTTTTGGAAAAGCTAGCTATGTGACAGAGCCAGGCCTATTCTTTTCCATGAAGTCAAAGATGTCCTCATTGTCAACGAAAGCATGACGTTCGTCTCCACTGAACTAAGGAAAGACTTTAACAGTTCGCATCCGGCCTCCAATGTCGTTGTCGCAGCCAGGGTTACAGCACAAGCTTATCTCAAATTATACAGGTAAGCTATTGCATTAAAAGAAGTAAAAAATTCCGATTTAGATTTTTATTTTGTAATAATAATTTTGTTTCAACATGAATAAGTCATCGGGTATTTACATGCTATCTTTTTAATTTTTTGGGGTAATTGACCTTCATTACAATGATTTCAGGTCGGATTTGAAAGTTGAAATTTTGTTGAACTGTCGACCTTGAATATTGGATGCACTGATTCCTACAGCTCCCAAACTCTGCACCCAGCCCGAGATGCACCTACATAGTAGAGGGCTGTGACTGAGGTCGAGGTTCAGGACTCATTACAGCTTTGTTACTTTGAACGACAAATAAACGATTCTCTCAAATGTTCACATCGCTTCATGTTGACATCGTTGCGAAAATGTTTTTTGGTGTTGTTTAACGCCGCGCTCGTCAAAATTAGAGGTTTATGACTGCACGTATTGACAGTTTTACCATTTTACATCCTGGATTGGGCACCTTTTTCCAAAAAACAAGTCTGTTCAAGAAACAAATGGGGAACATCATTTGTCTTCAGGTTTTACTGCCCGACAAGTTGTTTGCTGGACATGTTGCATTCCTAAAAAACAAATGTGTTGGGAAAAGAATTGTTCGGTTTCTCCTTACACGTACAGGGCGGTCGGGTAGCCTAGTTGTTAAAGCGTTCGCTCGTCACGCCGAAGACCCGGGTTCGATTCCCGACATGGGTACAATGTGTGAAGCCCATTTCTGATGTCCCCCGCCGTGATATTGTTTGAATATTGCTAAAAGCGGCGTAAAATCATACTCACTCACCGTACACGTACAAACAATGTGTGTTTTGGAGCAGGGTCTCTATACCCTTGAACATCCGGGGTAGAAAAGGTCTTCAGCAACCCATGCTAGCCGTAAAGGCGACAATGTTGTCCTTAGAGGCGACTAACGGGATCGGGTGGTCAAGCTCGCTGACTTGGTTGGTGCATGTCATCGTATTACACTTGCCTGGATCGATGCTCATGATGTCAATCACTAGATTGTCTGGTCTAGACTCGATTATATACAGACCGCCGTCAGAAAGCTGGAATATTGCTGACTGCGGCGTTAAACAACAAACTAACAAACAAAGCAGTGTATCTAACCCAAATCCAAGCATCCCCTATCCCCTCCAACGGATTGTATCATAAGTGATGTTAGTTCAATGGTTTGAGGGGGCACGGGTGGCCCAGTCGTCTAAGGCGCCGCGATTCGCTGTGTAGAGTTGCGTCCCTTGGGCACGCCAGAAACCTATGATCGTTCGATCGAATCCCGGTTTACCCCGATTATGTTTCTAGGTTTGTCAGCACCATACCCGTGCTCGTGGGTTTCACCGAAGTGGTAAACGTCTGAGACCTGCATCACTTCGGGCTTTCCTCCCACATTAAGCTGACACGCCGTGATATAACTGCAATAATAAGCTGTTATAACTGTTATAAGCGGCGTTAAACCCAACTCAGTCACTCACTCACTCAATTGTTTGAACATAAACATACTCTGTCGGTATATCTGTTGTTTCGTCCTTCGCACTACAGAAATAGAAATGTCCAGTTTGCTACAGGGCACTAAACGAAGATGCTTATGTGTGCACCATCCGGCAGCATCCGCAACTCACACAACTTAGTGGTGCGTGCAAGCGTGTGTTTTTTGTGACGGGCATGTTCACCTTTTCCCTAACACCTGGTATCATCACTCGGCAGTGATTAATTAATACATGCTCGTGATACAATGGATTCTGCTTTAACGAGAGATTTCTATTGGTTATGGAAAGGGTTTTGTCGCTTTTAGTAACACCTACAAACGTTATTGGCAACAGCTGTAAAGACCTGATTGGGGTGACACCGGTGTGTTGATGCACGAACAACCTCGCACTTGTGTCTCGTTTATCCCTTTGCGAACGATGTGGAGCCAATTTTAATGAGCGAACAGAAATCAATTTGAAACCCTTAATTGACTTCGATTGAAGAAGAATATCTTTCAAATATCGTTCAATTAATGTTCTGCTATTGTTGTGGTACGCTATCTATAAAATATGTACATGCAAACAGGATACTTACAAGACAGTCGATTTTTAGGGGGCGTCCGTGGCTGCGCGAGCGGTACATTCCCATGGTGAAACTAGAATAAATCGTGGTAGGTTGTGAGTCCAAGGTTTATGACCAGATTTGGAAACGTATCGGCACTCTACTCCATATAAGTCAATTCAGTCACTACACACATATTATTGGATGAAAATAAAAGTGACAAAACCGGCCCTATACATATTGCTAAAAAATCTCTTCCAAACGCCGTGCTATTCCGACTATATCATGAGCATGTGTCTACGAATCATATATATACTGCAACAACTCGAACCATATAAAATCAAAGGTGATAAATCGAGGATGATCAATCGAGGAAGATAAATCGTGGATGATACATTGAGAATGATAAATCGAGGAAGATAAATCGAGAATGATACATCGAGAATGATAAATCGAGGAAGATAAATCGAGGATGATAAATCGAGAAAGATAAATCGAGAATGATAAATCGAGAAAGATAAATCGAGAATGATAAATCGCTGATGATACATCGAGAATGATAAATCGAGGATGATAAACATGAGTCCAACATGAGTGTTTACAGGAACTGGGCCAACAGGAGTGGCTTCAGGAACTGGACCAACATGAGCGGCTACAGGAACTGGACCAACGTGAGTGGCTACAGGAACTGGACCAACAGGAGTGGCTACAGGAACTGGACCAACAGGAGTGGCTACAGGAACTGGACCAACAGGAGTGGCTACAGGAACTGGACCAACATGAGTGGCTACAGGAACTGGACCAACAGGAGTGGCTACAGGAACTGGACCAACAAGAGTGGCTACAGGAACTGGACCAACAGGAGTGGCTACAGGAACTGGACCAACAGGAGTGGCTACAGGAACTGGACCAACATGAGTTGCTACAGGAACTGGACCAACCTGAGCGTCTTGATTCTTGGTCATCGAAAGTGCGGACGGAAGTCCACTGAAATTAAATCCCTTTGCTATCTCTAAGGGCATCACAGGTGTCTGTACATGTGGTGAGGTGAAGAACGTCATACGGCTTCGTTCTGGTTCACTACTTGTGGAATGTGCAAGGAGGCAGCAATCCGTTAACCTGTTAGGATTAAAGCAGTTTGTTAACACTCAGGTTGCTGTCACGGAGCACTGAACTCTTGCAGAGGTATCGTCCGTGACCGAGCTCGTTGTCTGGCATATAGGACAGAGGAAGAAATTGTGAATGAAGTGAAACAACAAGGAGTTACTGCTGTGAAACGTTTCACAAGAAAACAGGACACAGGCATTATCAAAACAAATACCTATCTTATACATTCTATTAAAGCTTGTAACTTCAACATCGGAGTGGAGCTATATGTACCCAATCCACTCCGATGTTTCAAATGCGAAAACTGTTCCCAGTAGAGGTCGGGCCTCATGAGAGCACCGAGTGCACAAGAGATATCAAATGCTCCAACTACAATGGTGAACATATGGCATCATCTAAATCCTGCCCGAATTTTGAACTGGAATCAAAGAGTCTTAAAATCAAACTTACTAATAACCTCTCTTACTATGAAGCCAAAATACTTCTACCCACACAGTCTCAAGTTCCTTCCACTCGAACATATTCTGCTGCTGTTTCTACCTCTGCTTCAGCTCCTGTTACGAAAGTTTCCACCTCATGCCAGACAGCCGTCAATTTGGTGACAAATGAGCAGATGATTGTTAATGAACTCTCACTCACTAATGAACTCAATCCTCTCACAATGAGCGCAATTTAATTACATCATCTTCACAGACAGTAGATCCAGCCTTTGAGACAACATCTTTTCCAACAGCAAAACCAGACCCCAAACCAGCAACAGTCAATGGTGATGCCCATCTATCTAAAAGTGAGAAAATACAGCTGCGAAGGGCAAAGGCTCTCCAGCATTTAGAGGTACCTTCCACCTTGTCAACACCTGTGACGGTTCATAATGCGTTTGGACCTCTTGATATGGAGGTCACTCCCTCACAGCCAGTTCATGGCAGTGGACATGCCTCCCGTTCAAGATCCCCAGTTGAACCACCATAAACAGCTCTCTTAATTTAATACAATGGAATTGCAGAGGACTTAGGACCAATTTAAGTTATCTACAATTATTGTCGCAAGATTTTAAACCATCAGCTTTTAGTTTGCAAGAGACATACTTGAAAAATACAGATATATTTGATATTCGTCAGTTCAATTCTTACCATTCGTTTTCACCTGAAGGTGTTAAAGCCACTGGTGGTGCTTCTATTTTAGTGAGGCAGGGTGTCATCCATAGCCCTGTTCTTCTTAAATGCAACCTTTAAGCTGCTGCAGTCCGTCTTTCTTTGCACATAACCGTCACACTTTGCTCTTTATATATTTCACCATCTTCCACTCTTCAGCAGTCTGATCTTCAGGATTTGTTTGAGCAGCTCCCTCAACCATGTATCATCATGGGCGACTTAAACGGACCCTCTGTGGGGAAGTGCTGATACCGACACTAAGGGGAAAATCCTTGAAGACTTCCTTTCAAATAATGATTTATGTCTATTTAATGATGGATCCTCCACCTATTTACATCCGGCTACGGGCACTTATTCTGCACTTGATCAATCATTTTCAGATCCAAATATTTATAATGAATTTGAATGGTCAGTTCATAATGACCTTTGTGGAAGTGATCACTTCCCTACAATACTTTTAGCTATTAACTCGACTGATGATCCACCAGCACCCAGGGGGAATTTTCATAAGGTCGACTGGCCATTATTTCACTCACTTTGTACTGACAATTTGAAATCTGATGTTTTTATCAATGTCCTTGATCCTCTTCAGTTGTTCTCAGACCAACTGAATATTATAGCTAATGTATCTATTCCTAAGTCCTCTGTTCGCCCACACATTCGCAAACCATGGTTTAATGATGATTGCAAACAGGCAAGGAAGTGTAGGAAGAAGGCAGAGAAATATTTTCGCCGGCATCCTACAGTTCATAATGTAAATAATGTGAAAATAAATAGTGCCAAGGCTCGTCGTACTTTTAAACAAAATCGTCGTCAGTCTTGGAAAAACATTGTATCAAGGATAAATTCCCGGACACCAATGACTAAGGTGTGGAACATGATACAGAAAATCAAAGGCAAGGGTACACATTCTGGTGTTCATCATCTTAAAGATGGCACTAGCATACTAACTGATAAATATGACATTGCAAATAAGTTGGGTGAAATTTTATCTTAGAACTTTTCATCATCCAATTATAATCCTCAGTTTCAGAAATATCAACCTCGACAAGAAAAGAAGAAAATTAATTGTAATTCAGATAATGGTGAGGATTATAATGAAGTATTTTCACTGCATGAGCTCAATACCGCTCTAGGGAAAGCTCATGATACCGCAATAGGAGCTGATACCATCCACTATCAGCTCCTAAAACGCTTACCCAATTCATGTCTTGAAACACTTTTAAATATCTTTGATGATATTTGGACAGCAGGCCAATTCCCTCCTTCTTAGCACAATGCCATTGTTGTTCCAATACCAAAACCTGGCCGGGATCATAGCAATCCATCTAACTATTGACCTATTTCGTTAACTAGCTGTGTTTGTAAAACCATGGAATGCATGGTCAATAACCGACATGTATGGTTTTTAGAAACCAATGATCTTATTACATATATCCAATGTGGTTTCCGCAAAAATAGAAGTACTATTGACCATCTGGTTCGTTTGGAATCATTTATTAAATTTATTCCATTGTAAATAACCAGCATGCTGAATCGATCTTTTCGATCTTGAAAAAGCTAATGATACAACATGGAAACATGGGATTTTAAAAGATTTCCCTGACTTTGGTTTACAAGGCCGTTTGCCTTATTTTGTATCGCAGTCTTTAACTGACAGACAATCCAAGTTCGTGTCGGATCAACCCTGTCGGATCATTATAATCAGGACCAGGGCAGCATCTTGTCTGTCACATTGTTTAGTATAACAATTTAATAGTCTATCAAAAGTATTAAATGACTCAACCGATGGGTCATTGTTTGTGGATGATTTTAATATTTCATGCCGTGGTAAAAATATGCGTACTATTGAACGCCAATTACAGTTGTGTCTTAATAAAACTCATAAATGGTCACTTGAGAATGGCTTTAAATTTTCACAAACCAAGACCAATTGTATACATTTCTGTCGAAAATATAAACCCCATAAAGACCCTGAACTCTTTTTAGATGGCACTCCAATTAAGATTGTAAAATAAGCCAATTTTTTTGGATTAGTTTTCGACCATCATTTAATTTTTTTGCCACATATTAAATATCTGAAGACGAAATGACTGAAAGCCCTAGATTTGTTAAAAGTCGTCTCAAATCAAAGTGGGGAGGGGATCAGAAAACCCTTTTTCATTTATATCGACCATTGATCCGTTCTAAATGGGACTATGGCTCAATTGTGTATGCTGGAGCTTGCAAGAGAAATTTAAAAAGCTGGATTCAATCCACCATCAAGGACTACGACTATGTCTTGGTGCTTTTCGAACTTCTCTGGTTGACAGCCTCTATGTGGAGGCTGATGAACCTTCCTTAAAACAACCCTGTGCTAAATTGTCTCTTCAATATATTACTAAATTACGTTCGAACCCCTCTTATCCTGCTTATGACTCCGTTTTCTACCCCCTCTATGAAAATCTGTTTCAGGAGAAACCGAAGCTGGTTCCTCCACTTGGAATTCGGCTCAAATCCCATATTACTGATGCAAATCTAGATCTTATCTCTCCTTCCCGGCTTTTGTCTACTCCTCCCTGGCAGTTGGTGTGGCCAGAGGTAGACATTTCACTGACACGCTTTATAATCTGACACAAATCAACTAGTATATCCACAGGAATATTTACAATTGAGAAACAAATATGACACTCACCGTTCAATTTTTACTGATGGGTCCAAGGACGGTGGCAAAATAGTAAGTGCCACGGTCGTTGGATCCAAAATGATATCATCTGGAATACCAGACAATAGCTCTATTTTCACTGCTGAGGCCAATGCTATCCTTACAGCCTTGGTATATATTCAACGACAGTCTGCATGTAAACAGTTTATCATTTTTTCTGATTTACTTTCTTGTCTTCAGGCATTAACTAACTCATTTTATTATTTTACATATTTTAAAACTATACAATGATCTTTCAACTGGTCAGTACGACATCGTCTTTTGTTGGTTACCGAGCCATGTGGGCATAACTGCATACAACCATGCAGGTAGCAGAGGTGCCGTAAGTCCCCTTGGTCCATTGTATGGTGACCTTAACCTTCTGCTGGTGAACTATCGCCCCATTTTTATATGGTGTTGCATCATAAAATTCAGATAGTTTTAATGTTCTACGACTAGTTTTAAGTCAGTCTGTGATTTATTGCTAGTTATTATACCGCCCTTCGATGACAGTTTTTATGAATATTGTCTAACTTGTTCAAGTCACATTATGGCTGAAATATTGCCGACGTGACTTTAATTAAACTCACTCACTCACTGACTCACATACCGGATTGTTTGTGTAGTCAGGTTCCTACATACTACCTGTGGACCGCCTCCGTGATCTAGAGGTAGAGCATCCGCCCGGAGAGCGGAAGGTCCGGGGTTCGATCCCCGGCCGCGTCATACCAATAGACGTTAAAAGATGGTACTTGTTGTTACCCGGTTTGGGGCTCGGCATTAAGGGGCTAAAACAAGGACTGGTCGGCTCGGAGTCAGTATACTGTGTCTGAGTGGGGTATTCATGTTAAACTGCAGCATGGTATCTCAGTGGGCTAGCACTATAAATCGGCATCAGTCCGGACTAGTACAAGCAGCCACACACACACACTCATGCATGCACATCGCTATATAAGTGCAATAATCTTGGACGCGACGTTAAACCCAATTTCACCTCACCTCACCTCACCTCACCTCACCTCACCTCACCTCACCTACTACCTGTGCGTTTCTTTTTTTTAAGAATGTAATTGAAGAAATGAGAATATTTTCCAAGTAACGAATTGCAAGTTACATACAAAAAATCCATACTTGCAGTATCTAAAATAGGGGGGATGGCTGTCATGCATCAGTAGATAAATTTAATTGGCAAGTCTACAAGGAATAATGACCTGTGTGTAGTTCATTGATTCATTGACGGGAAATATCAAACAAGCTCAAATTTAGATGCATTATTAACATGTCAGTTATAGATAAAATGTTCTGGACAGTTCATCTGTCTTGAGGCAGGCTGTATACAAAGAGGGAAAGACGCACACACCGCCTCTCTACTGGCTACAGCAATGTTGGCATACGCAGCCTCTCTAATGACCACTGTCATGTTGGCCGGAGCTGTTCTGACCGAAGGGGCTAGAAGTGTCCCTGGCCTGGCTGTTGCACCTGCCCATGTGGTCAGTAGCTGGACGGTGGCTGCCCGGGACCGGTGTTACAAGCTGTGTCTGTACACACCCAACTGTGTCTCTGTGAACTGGCGCTGGAAGACAACCCCTGCGGTGTGTGAGCTCAACAAGGTGACTGAGACAGACTCCCCTGAAGCCGTGACACCTGATGACGAGACCGTCTACATTGAACTGTCTGCAGAGGAAGTGAGTACACCTATGCAAGGGCAAACTGATGCAAGACACCTTGAAAAATTGGTCAGCAAAATATGATACAGTCTTAAGACCAATCCAACTGGACATTCTCATAAGCAGCCCCTGCCTGTCCTAAGAGGCGACTAACGGTGCATGTCGTCATATCCAAGTTTCGTCGATTGATGCTGATGATGTCAACCACTGGATTTTGTCTGATCCAGGCTCAGTTAGACCGCCGCCATATTGTTGATTGCGGTGTTAAACAAACAAACAAACAATCAAATCAATAATTTTGCGAATAATGTTAAGTTCTCAAAGGCCTCTTAAAAAATATAAGTATCCTCGTCTTTCGGATAAATATTTAAGATACTTAATGTGTGTAGTCAAATGCAGGGTTCACCGAACATGAAATCACTCACGTACTGCCTCCACAGTCGTTTAAAGAGAGGTTTCTCTTCAGCAGTCTGGCCGGGTGCGCATGTGTCAGCCACCAGAGATGCATGTACCTGTTCGTGGTCATCAAGGATATCTGTGCCTAAGGCTGGGTTAGTCGTTCACATTTACAAAGAACTAAACAAGAGGCTATCCAAGCTTCGTCATTTGCTGAGAATATACTAGCTGAAATCCATCTCAAGGATCCTACATGTCATGAAGGATTTTATTGTGTTGCTGTGCCAAATTGTTTACACTGTCGGGAGAGGAGAAGATATTCCGAACAGTAAATAAGGCACGAGGGATTTTGTTTAAATCTCTTAAGCTCAACACTTGATACACGTGGTATTTACTATAACTAACACTGGATTGATTTGTGGACAACAACGTCAAATAATATGCAGATTTCTTGAAATAGCATGCCAGAATGTACACAAATCTTTCCGTTCTTGGCTTCCAGGGTTGACAGCCGAGGACACGGTTACAGAGGGAAGCTCTGTACCCACCACTACCAGAGGAGAAGAAGGTACAGTTCCTCCCTCTGTGTCGACCACTACCAGAGGAGAAGAAGGAACAGTTCCTCCCTCTGTGTCGACCACTACCAGAGGAGAAGAAGGTACAGTTCCTCCCTCTGTGTCGACCACTACCAGAGGAGAAGAAGGAACAGTTCCTCCCTCTGTGTCGACCACTACCAGAGAAGAAGAAGGGACAGTTCCTCCCTTGGTGTCGACCACTACCAGAGAAGAAGGGACAGTTCCTCCCTTTGTGTCGACCACTACCAGAGGAGAAGAAGGGACAGTTCCTCCCTCTGTGTCGACCACTACCAGAGAAGAAGAAGGGACTGTTCCTCCCTTTGTGTCGACCACTACCAGAGAAGAAGAAGGGACAGTTCGTCCCTTTGTGTCGACCACTACCAGAGGAGAAGAAGGGACAGTTCCTCCCTTTGTGTCGACCACTACCAGAGAAGAAGAAGGGACAGTTCCTCCCTTTGTGTCGACCACTACCAGAGAAGAAGAAGGGACAGTTCCTCCCTTTGTGTCGACCACTACCAGAGGAGAAGAAGGGACAGTTCCTCCCTTTGAACTAGAAGTGGAAGGGATACCAGGTAAAGTGATAAGCACTCTAATAAAGCTTTGCGAAACCACTAAACTGTAATGTATCTCCGAAATATTGATAACACTGTAATTGATGATTCGTTTCAGCATCTCCGTAACATTCGATATTTAGCACCTTGTCTTAAAACGGATCCACCGCTGTTCAAATCTGTAAGTGGTAGTGTGATGTTCACGTGATACTGAACGATAAACTGTTTGTCAGCACCATACCCGTGCTCGTGGGTTTCACCGAAGTGGTAAACGTCTGAGACCTGCATCACTTCGGGCTTTCCTCCCACATTAAGCTGACACGCCGTGATATGACTGGAATACTGTTAAAAGCGGCGTTAAACCCAACTCATTCACTCACACACTGAACGATAAACTAAAACTTAGTTAAATAGATTTCAACAACTTCAATCAGATTAATCTGACGAGCATGCCGTCGATACCCCCTTTCAAAGCTCACCTGGACCAAATGTCCATTTAAGCTTACACATTGTGCGTTAACGTTGCTCCATTGTCGAGCCGTTGACTTTCCCCTTTCTACTGTCCACAGGAAGCTTACATCCAGCAACACGTTGGGATTCAGTACGTCACAGGGTTGTTAACGTTCCTCCATCACTACATCGTCAGAACGTCACGTGTTTGTATACACTAGTTCCTCCATCACTACATCGTCAGTACGTCACGTGTTTGTATACACTAGTTCCTCCATCACCACATCGTCAGTACGTCACGTGTTTGTATACACTAGTTCCTCCATCACCACATCGTCAGTACGTCACATGTTTGTATACACTAGTTCCTCCATCACCATATCGTCAGTACTTCACGTGTTTGTATACACCAGTTCCTCCATCACCACATCGTCAGTACGTCACGTGTTTGTATACACTAGTTCCTCCATCACCACATCGTCAGTACGTCACGTGTTTGTATACACTAGTTCCTCCATCACCACATCGTCAGTACGTCACATGTTTGTATACACTAGTTCCTCCATCACCATATCGTCAGTACTTCACGTGTTTGTATACACCAGTTCCTCCATCACCACATCGTCAGTACGTCACAAGTTTATATACAATGGTTCCTCCATCACCACATCGTCAGTACGTCACAGGTTTATATACAATGGTTCCTCCAGCACTACATCATCCTTACGTCACAGGTTTATATACAATGGTTCCTCCAGCACTACATCGTCAGTACGTCACAGGTTTATATACAATGGTTCCTCCAGCACTACATCGTCAGTTCGTCACAGGTTTGTATACACTAGTTCCTCCATCACCACATCGTCAGTACGTCACAGGTTTGTATACACTAGTTCCTCCATCACCACATCGTCAGTACGTCACATGTTTGTATACACTAGTTCCTCCATCACCACATCGTCAGTACGTCACATGTTTGTATACACTAGTTCCTCCATCACCACATCGTCAGTACGTCACATGTTTGTATACACTAGTTCCTCCGTCACCACATCGTCAGTACATCACCTTTTTGTGTATACTTCGTTCTCCCTTAACACAAAGTGCCGCTCTTCCATTTGTTGATGTTATCTCTTCCAGCTGTCCGCCCGCCCGTGCGTCCTTTTGTTTTGTTCTTGGTATGTATATCTGACATGACTAACAGGTGACCTTGCTTTATTACAGGGCAGGCTTGGTCTTCTATCTTCAAGCGCTATGACCACTATTACCTGACAGGTCATAACAAACAAATCCTAATAGGTATGACGGTGGAACAATGTTTACAGACATGTCTCAATGAAACGACATATTTGTGTCGATCTGTGGACTATTGGAAGGAAAAAAGAGGAAATCCTACCTGCCAACTCTCTGATGTCACCAAGGATGAAGCGCCGGATTCCTGGACTAACAAGGACGAAGCCGCATTTCACTTTGAGCGAATATAGCCTCTGTAAGAACCTATGACTGTACGCACACTCTTCTCTTCTATAAATGATAAATTCAAAATTCTTTGGAATAGGCCAATTTACAGCTTCAGACGTATCCAGGCCAACAAACCTGATCTTGTCCTTTTTTATAAATCCAATGAAATCATTTATATCATAGCACCGCGCGGCTCTAGCTTGATGGAGGTTTGATCAGGGTTACAAGCAAAACTTGTAAGGTAGAAATGGGGAGCACATTTCCAACCTTGACGCATCAGTAACAATAATTATTCATTTCAATTCTATTTTGCTTTGTACCATATTGTCATACAGCTACTTTGTCCATTAGTCACTGATCATGCAGCTGTTCGGACAACCTCGATCCAAGGATGTGGCTGTTCTCCTCACTGACGGGGCGGTCGGGTTGCCTAGTGGTTAAAGCGTTCGCTCGTCACGCCGAAGACCCGGGTTCGAATCCCGACATGGGTACAATGTGTGAAGCCCATTTCTGGTGTCCCCCGACGTGATATTGCTGGAATATTGCTTAAAGCGGCGTAAAACCATACTCACTCACTAGTGGTTAAAGCGTTCGCTCGTCACGCCGAAGACCCAGTTTCGACTCTCGACATGGGTACAATGTGTGAAGCCCATTTCTGGTGACCCCTGCCGTGATATTGCTGGAATATTGCTAAAAGCGGCGTAAAACCAAACACACTTACTCACTCTCCTCGCTGACTTACAATACACTTGTAACAGTGAGGTTGGTCACAAGGTACTGTCTTGTGAACAGTATAGGACTCCACTATCAACTGCCACATCGTCTACGGTAGAACTACCATGTAACACGGTGTGCAAAATGGTGACTGAACGTTCCGTGACATATGTTTTAATCATGAAAATTGTTTCGAGATTATATCACTTCAAATGTTTGGAAGAATAATTTATATTCAAACCTTTTCATTATAACCTATCAGTACAATTTATGTCATCTCCTTATGGTTGCAAAACCAAACATAAAAAGATTAAAATGCTTACTTATGAATAGTCAAAGTATTTTTGTTTTAAAGACACTAACGAAATTCTATTTTTGTGACTCTCGGCTACCTTAGACAGACGGGCTAAGTAGATAGACGGGCAGTAAAGTCCATTTATTCATGTCCATTCAATTCATATTGTATAATATTCATTGCTTATATTGTCCAATCAGAATGTAGAACGTACTTCTGTAAATGCAATCAAAATCATGTATAAAACTGTTCATGTGTCCTGGTATGAGGGGAGAGAGAATGAGTGAGTTGGGTTTAACGCCGCTTTTAACAGTATTCCAGTTATATCACGGCGTGTCAGCTTATTGTGGGAGGAAAGCCCGCCGCGATTCGCTGTGCAGAGTTGCGTCCCTTGGGTACGCCAGAAACCTATGATTGTGGTTTCGAATCCCGGTTCGCCCCAATTATGTTTCTAGGTTTGTCAGTACCATACCCGTGCTCGTGGGTTTCAACGAAGTGGTAAACGTCTTAGACCTGCATCACTTCGGGCTTTCCTCCCACATTAAGCTGACACGCTGTGATATAACTGGAATACTGTTAAAAGCGGCGTTAAACCCAACTCACTCACTCACTTTACATTTACTGAATGCAGTGTTGTTTCTAGTTCTCGGTATTCACTGTTATACATAACATGTTTGAAAGACTGTCATTGTTGACATTTTAAATTCATAACAAGTTGGCTTCAAAAAGATGATTATCCGAGTATGTTTTGTATTGAACATATCATAAATGTGTATTACGAGAGCCTTTTCATCCCCAAAATATTTAAATGTCGACCCTTGTAGATACAATGGCATACTGTTTGTTGTGGCTTCATTGAGTGAGTGAGTGAGTGAGTGAGTGAGTGAGTGAGTTGGGTTTAACGCCACTTTTAACAGTATTCCAGTTATAACACAGCGTGTCAGCTTAATGTGGGAGGAAAGCCTGAAGTGATGCGAGTCTCAGACGTTAACCACTTCGGTGAAACCCACGAGCACGGGTATGGTGCTGACAAACCTAGAAACATAATCGGGGCGAACCGGGATTCGAACCCACAATCATAGGTTTCTGGCGTGGCCAAAGGACGCAACTGTGCACAGCGAATCGCGGCGCCTTAGACGACTGGGCTACCCGTCCCCCCTGTGGCTTCATTGAACACCTGGTGTCATTCATGATTTTTAGTGATGCATTTATGTACTTTTTCATCGCTTCTTTTCCCTGTTATGTCCATGGAATATATTTCGTTGGAAAATCGACACTGGTTTTTCTATAGAGTTGACGGGTCACATATAAAAGCAGGATCAGTGAGGTCACGTGCTGACACGAGCAAATTCCGACAGACAGACAGACAGGTTTGTTCAGTATTATGGAGGGCGGTCGGGTAGCCTAGTGGTTAAAGCGTTCGCTCGTCACGCGGAAGACCCGGGATCGATTCCCGACATGGGTACAATGTGTGAAGCCCATATTGGTGTCCCCCGCCGTGATATTGCTGGAATATTGCTAAAAGCGGCGTAAAACCATACTCACTCACTCAGTATTATGGCCATATGGCCTAACGTAAATTGATACTAACGCATGTGTTATATAAGTAGCCACTGAAAAGATAACATGTTTATTTTGTTAGTTGATAACATTTATTAGTAACAATTAAGATTTATAGTCATTAATCAAGAAAGGAAGATATGTAGATCTTAACTTGGAATATTTGTTACACTTAAATAACACATGGAATTCATCTTTAATTTCACCTGTCACAATAGGTACAAACACTGTTAACAGCATCAATATCTTTCGATTTACGACATATACTAAATTTACAAAAAGATCTTATGAATGACTTGTCTGGTAAGACAGATAAATACACGTCCTGTTGAAGATGTGTCTTTAGTTTACTATAATTGCTAAGATAATGCGAAGATGAAACAGTTTCGTACCAGTTTTGTGCAAATATATATTTCACTCGCTGCTTTAATATTCCCATAAACACTTGAATGTACAATTTTCTTGTGCAATCCAAACAAAAGAAAATATACATGTAAATGGTAGTTAACTTACTTCAGACACCGATTCAGAGCAAATTCCAACACTTATTGACACGTAGTGAGTCGTTAATGTTACAGCCTCTATATACCATTGTACTTAGTTTCACTTTAAAACATCAAAATATTCAGTTTATGCATTATTCAATTTAATTGATAATAAAAGCTTTTGGCTAACAGTTGTTTGATTGTTGGATTTCTATCTGTTAGATGATATCCTTCTTTGAAGTCCGGGGCCATGGTTGGCGTCCGGGGTCATGATTGGCGTCCTGGACCATGGTTGGCGTCCGGGGTCATGATTGGCGTCCGGGACCATGATTGGCGTCCTGGACCATGATTGGCGTCCTGGAACATGGTAGGCGTCCGGGATCATGGTTGGCGTCCGGGACCATGGTTGGCGTCCGGGATCATGATTGGCGTCCGGGATCATGGTTGGCGTCCGGGACCATGATTGGCGTCCGGGACCATTGTTGGCGTCCGGGACCATGATTGGCGTCCGGGACCATGGTTGGCGTTCTGGACCATGGTTGGCGTCCTGGACCATGATTGGTGTCCGGGACCATGGTTGGCGTCCGGGATCATGATTGGCGTCCTGGACCATGATTGGCGTCCTGGACCATGATTGGCGTCCTGGACCATGGTTGGCGTCCTGGACCATGGTTGGCGTCCGGGACCATGATTGGCGTCCGGGACCATGGTTGGCGTCCGGGATCATGATTGGCGTCCGGGATCATGATTGGCGTCCGGGATCATGGTAGGCGTCCGGGATCATGGTTGGCGTCCGCGACCATGATTGGCGTCCTGGACCATGATTGGCGTCCGGGACCATGGTTGGCGTCCGGGACCATGATTGGCGTCCGGGGTCATGATTGGCGTCCGGGGTCATGATTGGCGTCCGGGGTCATGATTGGCGTCCGGGATCATGGTAGGCGTCCGGGACCATGGTTGGCGTCCGGGACCATGATTGGCGTCCGGGACCATGGTAGGCGTCCGGGATCATGGTTGGCGTCCGGGACCATGATTGGCGTCCGGGACCATGGTAGGCGTCCGGGACCATGGTTGGCGTCCGGGATCATGATTGGCGTCCGGGATCATGGTAGGCGTCCGGGGTCATGGTTGGCGTCCGCGACCATGATTGGCGTCCGGGACCATGGTTGGCGTCCGGGATCATGGTAGGCGTCCTGGCCCATGGTTGGCGTCCGGGACCATGATTGGCGTCCGGGACCATGGTAGGCGTCCGGGACCATGATTGGCGTCCGGGACCATGGTTGGCGTCCGGGATCATGGTAGGCGTCCGGTATCATGGTAGGCGTCCGGGATCATGGTTGGCGTCCGGGATCATGATTGGCGTCCGGGATCATGGTTGGCGTCCGGGATCATGGTTGGCGTCGGGGATCATGGTTGGCGTCCGGGATCATGGTTGGCGTCCGGGACCATGATTGGCGTCCGGGACCATGGTTGGCGTCCGGGACCATGATTGGCGTCCGGGATCATGGTTGGCGTCCGGGACCACGGTTGGCGTCCGGGATCATGATTGGCGTCCGGGACCATGGTTGGAGTCCGGGATCATGGTTGGCGTCCGGGACCATGATTGGCGTCCGGGACCATGATTGGCGTCCGGGATTATGGTTGGCGTCCGGGGTCATGATTGGCGTCCGGGACCATGATTGGCGTCCGGGACCATGATTGGCGTCCTGGAACATGGTAGGCGTTCGGGATCATGGTTGGCGTCCGGGACCATGGTTGGCGTCCGGAACCATGGTTGGTTTCCGGGACCATGGTTGGCATCCTGGACCATGGTTGGCGTCCTGGACCATGATTGGCGTCCTGGACCATGGTTGGCGTCCGGGACCATGGTTGGCGTCCTGGACCATGGTTGGCGTCCTGGACCATGATTGGCGTCCGGGACCATGGTTGGCGTCCGGGATCATGATTGGCGTCCGGGATCATGGTTGGC